ATTAATAAAAACCGTTTACATAATTAAAATGATATTAAAAAATACTGTTCATATTATCATGGAAGTTAAGACAGAGAAAACAGATGGAATAAGATTATACATACAAATGTTTTATTTTGTTATTATAATATAAAGAAAGGGAATATATTACAATGTTTATAACGTAATGTAAAAAAAGGAACATATTACAATGTTTATAAATGTGTAAAACGCTAAAAGTAGGCACCAATCTGACACACTATTTGAATACAAGTGCGAATATGCACCACAACGAACTTGCGAAATTTTCACGGTGCGAATTCGCACTCTTGTACCATTTGAAGGTTAATTAAAAATGAAATATCGTGTATAATACTTCTTAATTTTCATGGAAATCTATCTCATTATCATGATGTAATGATGAAATATTACAAAAGTGTTAATTCTGAAATGGAGCAAATAATAAAATATCTTAATCTTCAAATGGTACAATAGTGCGAATTCGCACCGCGAAAATTTTCGAATTGCTGAAATTTGCACAGAGATATATGTCGCGACTATTCGCCGGCTAGTTGCAGCACCAGTGTTCTATTAGTGGGTGCTCGAAAGAAGTGTACCATTTGAAGATTAAAATACAAGCGTCCAGCAAAAATTAAATAACAAATAATAATTGTTCGGACTTGAAACGCATTATTAGGTGAGCTGGAATAGAAAGTTCTCATTTAATATATACAGGTTATTGCGATAAATAATATCATATGCCTCGGTGGTCGAGCTGGTTAAGACGCCCGCTCCGGAAAATCGGGATGTCCCAGGTTCAAATTCTGGCTGAGGTAATATTTTTCGCAATAAGTTCTTTTCAGTATTTTAAGATGCTTATAAGCATCGATTGATTAGGAAGATCAATATATTTCTATTCCAGCCTCAGCTAATAATTGCGTTTCAAATTCGAATATTTAATCGGCGCGCTACAGTTTAACGGCTGTACATGGAGTTCAGAAAAATTCATATAGAATTTATTAGGCATCTAAGATCCAGCCGTGACCGCGAAAAAGCGCTTTCGAAGTTAGTTAAATAATAAATATATAAATAAATAAATAAAAAAAGAAGATACTAGATTGTTAATGATACATTTATAAGCGGATGATTTTTCCCATTTTGTGAAATATAAGTCGATGCGATGTTCTTACAAATGATCCGATGACTTTACGGATTGCGACGATAAAAGTGAACTCGTTACACTAAGAAAAAAAAATTTGTTGAAAAACGCAAAATTTGTTTCATCTTACCAAAATACATATTTAGTTCGATATGTTTAACTAAACGTTATTACGATGACACAAAATAATTTGTTACTATTATAAACAAAATACTATTTTTTAACTAAACTACTTTGTTTCAACAAAAATTTATCGTATTTAACTTAACCGTTTGATTAAAAAGATCGGAAGAGCA